TTGAATTCAGAAGGAAGGTACATGTTCCTACATTTGGTGACGCCTCTGCCTCGTTCTTTGTCATCTGGAAGGGCCGTCCCCGTGCCCCTCCTTGCCTTCCTCTGTTCACAGTAGGTCTTCCCCGAGTACCCGATGCATTACTTCCCATTGTCAGCTGTGGAGTTCGTAACAAATGAAAGTTCGGTCGAATATGATCCGGAGAATTGCAATTGAAATATCTTCTATTAGTCGGGCAACTTCTTGACAAATGGCCCGCCTCCCCACACTTGTAACATTTTCTTGGGTCCATCTTGCATTCACCTTGATGAACCTGTCGGCATTGTGTGCAAACTTTCTCACCGACCTTTTGATTAGTTCTATTATCATATCTCACAGTTTTCGGCCCTCGAAAATTTGATGAAGGCCCCTCCCAACCTTTCCTTCTAACTGCCGATTCTTATTTCGCACTGTTACTTCAGCTGCATCTACCGTTAGTGAAAAGGTATTGGGATTCATGGCAATTACAAACTCTCTGATTGAGGGTTTCAAACCCCAGATGTATCTCTCTATCTTCCTTGGTTCGGATGAAACATAGTGTTTGGAAAATGGAGAGTATTCAATGAATCTCTCAGTATACTCCTAAACTGTTCTATTTCCCTGTTCCAACTTTAAGAAATCTTCTTCCATTTGTCTCATTGCAGTTTTAGGACAAAAATGATTCTTGAATCGTTCTACAAATTCCATACAAAATAATGTCTGCAAAACTTGAAGATAATGATTCAACTTCCCACCAGAACAAGGCATTTGATTTCAACACAGAAACATCAAATCGAACTTTATCTGTTTCCGGACATCGAATGGTGTTAAACACATATTCCATATCCTTATTCCAGCACAAAGCTTTCATTGGATCCTTTTCTCCAGAAAATGTTGGTGGCTTGCATGCCAATAACATTTTAATATCTCCCTCCTTGTTATGAGTAACAGGTACTGAATGATGGACTTCTACTCTCTCTGTTTCCACCCTAGCTGGTATTCCCATAATAGATGTCAAAGTTCCCTGCAATTTCCCCATTTCCTCCACCAACATATCCCTGGTCACATATTCTGGGTGTGACACCGATCTTTCCTGAACATTCCCAGAATGGGATTCTTCATGTTTAGAATGAACTTCGGTCCGACCCCTTCCTTGAGACTGACTTCTTCCTCTGCCACGTCCCCTTGGTCATCCCCGACCTCTATTTCCGGACGTGCTAGTAAGAAGATTAATGGGTGATTCTTCCCATTACTCAGACTCCGGTCGAGCCGTTCTTTCAGATCTCTGAGTTCGGCTAGACATCTGCAGATTTTTGTGTTAATAATCACGTATTCACATTCCCAAATATAATGAAGTATTCGTGTTCATATATGTACCTGTAAATTCATAATTACACTGGTCAGATGTAATTAAAATTTACCTTACATACTGTTCCTCCAACTCATCATATTTATTTCCAATGGTGCTAACTATGTTCGGGACCCTTAATACGCAACAAAACAATTTAAGTATAGGTATCATGCTGTTAAATACCTAAATCCCTTAAACTCAGGCCTTGATACCACTTTCTGTAACGTCCCAATCCATACACATTGCATATAACATATACTTCATATACAAGAAATACATGTTTGTACACCACATTGGTCACTTAGTACAAGAATCTACCAGTACAAAATACATGGTCCAGAAATTCAAAATATAATTCTTGTACTAATACAATTTCATTTATCAAAACTATACATGCCGTCAACAAATCTTCATGTAGATAAGTATATAGGGAAAATATTGCATTTTTCCGGTCCCTTACCGTCAGCACTTCCTGCAATACATATTTAAAATCACAAAACGAAGGTTAGACCGAAAGGTCTAGTGCCTTACCGTATTTATGTTATTGCAGGGTGAAAATCACCAAAACCTTTAAGTAAAACAACTTTACATATATGAATCATGTAGAAACATAATGTTAATACTTTTCAAGCCAAAAAATTCTGCTCACAAACAATACATCACATCCCAACAGGTTTATACTAATCAATTTATCATAATGCCACTTTCAAACCTTTTAAGTCAAATAAGGTTTATTCAAAGTTTCAAGCCAAACCTGTTATCTCCTTCTCTATAACCTTCAAACTATGATTTCCAATAAGAACTCTAATCCAAAATCTTTAAGTCACAAAGAAATAAAGATTCTAGACCATGGTAATCTTAAGGGATATGATAGTAGAAGTTATATGATATAACACACACATACTAATGCCACCCTTATATCCAAATGTACACCTCTCCTTGATATGCCACCCTTATCCCATGGTACACCTCTCGTTGATATGCCACCCTTATTTCCTCATAAAAACATTTCACAAAAACAATTCCATATAGAATAGACCGCAGTCAATGAAATTATTATTAGTTCAAATTCAGTTTTGTCAGAATTCCCATTTATTGTTTCAAAAGAATCATATTTTGACAAAATAACAAGTAATCCGGTCAACCTTGTCCGGATAACAAATTCGGACAACACTCCACATGGTTTGTCCGATTTAACACTTGGCTTTATCACAAACCTTGACCGGATAACAAATCCGGACAATACAATACAAGAACATCTGATTTAACCCTTCACATGTTATGCTTGATTTAAAATAAACCGGTCACCTCATAGTCGTATTCCTACTTCTAAGTTAAAAATACTTAACATATAATCAAAGTTCATAAATCGTGCAATCTTTAAACCGGTCAAGACATGTCCGGTTTAATGTCTAAACTGCTTGACTCTTATCCGGTTTAAGGCTACATCGCTCATACCTTAGGTGGTTTAGCCCTAAACCGCTCAAGCCTTGTTCGATTTAAACCTTAAATCACTCATCTTTTTTTGTCAGGTTTAATCTAAATCGATTATACCTTGCTCGGTTTAACACTAAACCGCTTAACACATGTCCGATTTAAACTTTAAATAGTCCAACTCTTATCCGATTTAGATATAATCCGGATAATATTCAAATGGTTTAAACTTCCAAATAGATAAGAAGTGATATAAATAGTTCATGCATTTTCGAAGAATATGCAACATTTAAAATCACTCACCTTATGCAATGCTTTTAAAATCAACTGAATCTTGTTGAAAATGCAATCCGATCAACTCTTCTTTTAAAAACTCTTACTTAGTTCAAAATGGCAAGAAGAAGGGTATGAGGGCCACACCCCTCCCTATATACCCCTTTCTAAAATAAGAAGGGCGGCTAAACTGCCCCTTCCATGTATGACCATACTCATGCACACATGCACATTTTTATGCGTACATACATTATACATATGAATCCTGCATATATATATACATATATATATATATATAATGTTTGCATTTCACCTTGTGCATATAATCCCTTATCCATAAAATTTTCATTCCAGCATGATCAAATATAACAATATATCATGTTGTCACATAATTATTTAACTAATAATCACGTATAAGTTACCTTAGGTGATAACCAAGATCCAGTTATCACAAAAAGCTACTGGCAAAGTATGGAGAATGAAAGATCCATTCCAGAAGAAAAGTTCTAATGTTTCAAAAATTAGTTCTTCTGTGTAGAGCTCAAATGTAAAATCTGATAGTTGTAAATGTAATCATCTTGCAAAGAAGAAATGTAATCTGAAGGCTGATATGAAGAAATCTAAAAAAAAATTCACATTCAAATATTTTGTCTTTGGCACCTAAACATTTACATTGCAACTATTGTGGCTACAATTTTTTTGCCATAAATGCCAAGTGTAAACAACAAATCAGATCTAAGAATTCTAAATTTGTATCAGATCTTCCACATATATCTAAATCTGTAAATGGTTCATAGACTGAAAGAATATTTTTCAAAAGAAAGATGAACCATTTTTTGTTTATATAAAGTTTGTTAGGAAGTGGGTTCGAAAACATAATTTATGAATGGCGTGTTAAATTTGTATCTACTAATCTTGTTTCTAACCCAAAAGGACCCATTATAATATGGGTACCTAAATCTAAGTGATTGCTTTTACAGGACTATCATGTGTGGTACATAGATTCCAGATGCTCAAGAAACATGACAGGACATAGGCACTTTCTATTTGATTTCAAAGAAAAGCCTGATGGAACAGTCACTTTTGGAAACAAAGAGAAAGGTTACATGAGAGGTTTTGACACATTATCAAATGGCACTGTGACGATAAAGAAAGTGCTCTATGTTGAAGGACTAGAACATAATCTGTTCAATATCATCCATTTATGTGATAATGGTTTTAAAGTCAAAATTTTCATTAAACGTTGTACCATCATTGATTCTGACGGAATTGAAGTTATTCGAGCTGAACGCTATGGTAATCTATATGTTGTGAACTTTTCAACTATGTCTGCTTCTCAGCCGATCTATTTGATCTCTAAGGCAACAAAAAAGGACATTTGGATATGGCATCCAAGATTATCACATCAGAACTTCAATGATATAAACAGACTCGTAAGCAGAAATCTTGTCGTAGGTCTACAGGAACTAAGATTTGACAAATATTCACTGTGCTCAGCATGCGAGATGGGAAAGATGACAAGAAGTTTCCATAAAGAGAAGACTGAACTTCATGCAAATCTCCACTGGAAATGATTTATATGGATCTCTATGGACCTATGCAGACTCAATCTATAGGATTCAAAAAGTACATATTGGTAATGGTCAATGAACATTCTAGATACACGTGGCTAGAGTTTCTGAGAGCCAAGTTCGATGCGCCTGAGATGATTATTGCATTTATTAAGCGTATTCAAGTTATTCTACAACTTCCACGTGTAAAAAATCAGAATTGACAATGGCACTATGTTCAAGAATGAGACTCTTCAGAGTTATCTACATTCTGTTGGGATTTCTCATATTTTTTCCATTGTTCGAACTCCGCAACAAAATGGAGTTTTTGAAAGAAAAAAATGGACTTTGGTAGAAGCCGCTCGAACAATGCTTGATTACTTTAGGTTACCTGTGTATCTGTGGGCTGAAGCTGTATCAACTGCTTGCTTCACATAGAACAGAAAGATCATTGTCAAGCGTTTAAACAAAACTGCTTATCAGATAATAAATAAATGTAAGCCTAATGTGAAATTCTTTCATGTTTTTGGATGCAGATGCTTCATGCTTAACGACATAGACAATCTTGGAAAGTTTGATAAGAAAGCTGATGAAGGTTACTTTCTCGGATATTCTATCACATCAAAAGCCTTTAGAGTCTACATCAAACGGACTAAAATTGTCATTGAAAGCGTCAATGTTCGATTTGATGAATTGTGGACTTCTAGACAACATAGTTTAGGAATCGATCTATAACCGCTAGATACTATACAAGCCAATGTAGAATTTGTACTAGAATACAAGACAATGAATTTTGTTAGGTTTATATTTTATTTGTAACAAACTAGAGGGACCAAATTTGTAAATACCTTCAAGGTATATATATAGGTCCCCAGTCTCTAGAGTAGGTCGACTCATTATTTGTATTATTAGCTTATTATTGAGAAGCAACCACCAAAGGTAAACCTAGTATTTTGTATTCCACGTTTTGCATCAATAGAAGCTGATTGATTTGCTATTTCCATTGTATTAATCTTATTTCATTGTTTCTTGTAATCACCTGGGTAAAAAACAATCGGTATTAGAGCATAAGATCAACATTGGAAGAAGACTCAGTCTCATTTCTTGGAAAACCACGTCTGTGAGTTCTAGTTCACTATTTTATTTGTTTTCATTCAGTTCTGGGTTGTACTCGAGAGTTAAAGTTGTAAGACTTTGTTTTTCGAGCCTGTATATCCTTGACTAAAGGTTCTAGACTGTATTTCTGAATTTTTTTGACATTTGCTAGAAACCTTAAGAACTGCCAAGTTATCGCATCCTTATTATTCTTTATGATCGTATAGTTGTGTGTGATAACTAGGTTTCATCGCATCACTTTGATACGATAACTTCTTGTTGTCGTATTGGTTGAAACCTATAACCTCGTCATATGACACTAGTTTGACCCAATAAAACCCTTTCATCACATCAGTTTGACCCAAAAAACACACTTTATCGCATCCTTTATATGCGATAAGTTACTGTTCATACCCATTTCATGCGACAAGTTTGGATCCGATAAGTTTGAGTGCAAAAAGTTTGACCGAACAAGTTTGTGTGCAACAATTTTAAGGTTCAAGGAGTAGGGTGCGACATATTTTTGGGGTACCACAAATAGTTGATGCGATAAAAAATATCAGTTTGTCATTTCTGAGCTATTTTTTTTAGTATTTGAACCATTTGATCTAATGTGTTGGTCCCGTAAGGGTCTACAAGATATGTATAACAGTTTGTAGAAGGGGGGATGAATGCAAACACATTATTTTCAAATTTTAAATGTATATTGATAAGAGAAGTTCAATACAAATTTTACAAGACTGTTTGCGGAAAAATAAGGTAAAAAAAATATCCAAACAATCTTTGGTTACACGTTGAATCTTAGCAAATAAGAAAAGATTTGTTGTAGGAGAAAGTAAGTTCTTTTACTTAAGCTCAAGAATGCTCAAAGTAAGAATTAGGTTAAGAAAGTGTGTTGCGCGCACTCTGCATGGAGAGGAAACACTTCTATTTATTCTCATTGCATTAAATGCACATTTAATGCAATATAGTAGGGTTAGAGTGTGTGTCAAGCCTTAAGGGGAAGGCTTTTCCTTTGCTACAATGAATAGTACAAAAAGCCTATTCATAAGTAGACATCCTTACCTAAAGTTGGTGAGTTGTTAAACCCCACAATTCATAATGTAAAAAGTAATTGTTAGCTATAATATTCACTTAATGTAAAAGTCTGAAAAAGTATTCTGCAAGTGTTGACAGAAGGGTATCTTGCACAGAAGACAACAGAGGAATAGCGTCAGAAGTTGTTTCATCGTGCAAGTCAAGAATGACAGAACCTCTGATGTCTCTCACAGAGGTTCTGGAAAATGGTCCTCTGGCAATAAGATCATACAAGTCAATTACAGCAGAGCCTTTGAGATGACTCACAGAGGGTCTGCGGATTCGTCTTCTGTGAAGATCCTGTTCTGCTATTTTTCAAAGGTGGTTAGCTGCATGTGCTTCTCACGTGACTAGATTTTAATAGACTTTATTTGGACGGCTTAGATGATTTCACTTTCTAGATCATGTCAGTAAGGTCGTTAAGGTCTAGTATAAGTAGCAGCTTAGGCCTTTGTATTCAGTGTGCTTCCGAATTGTAATCGTCTAAATTTCAATTGAATGAATTGAAAACCTTTGAAGCTATTCTCATGTGTTCATCTTCTTTCTCATATTAAACTGTGTGTTCTTGGTTTAATTACTCTGTTTTGTTCTTATAATTGTTCCGCTGCATTGTGATCGTCCTAAGAGTTCATTAAGAGTAAGAGATCAATATCAAAACTGAATTTATAGGTCCAACAATTGGTATCAGAGCAGGAATTGAATTCTTATTCGATTAATTCTGTTTTTGGTATTAATCTGCTTTTTTCTAGAACACCAGTCTTCTTCTTCATGTTACCCTGTTTTACTCTTCTAAATTAGTTTCATCTTATTCCTATTTTTCTTCTTCTAATGGCGAACTTGGCCAATACTTCGTTCATGAGCACTGGTTCTCAATCAAAACCTCTCACGCTTATCCGTGAGGAGTATCCGCGATGGAAGGTGCGAATGATTAACTTTTTTAGAGTGAATTCACCCTTGAATATGTGAATTTCTCTACAATCCTCCTTATGTGCCAATGAACTTAATTCCAAGAGTTACTGCTACTGGCATAACCCCTGAAATTCCTGAACATTACGAGCCAAGACCTGTTGCTAACTAGAGTGATGAAGACAAGATATTGGTTGATTTGGGCAACAAGTGCAAAAGATTGTTAATCATGGCAATACCTCACGAAATCTTCAAATGTATTGATCACWGCCAACTGTCCATGGATATTTGGGCAGAATTGGAAAAACATATTGAGGGAGGTAAGAAAACTCTAAAGAACAATCGAGCAATTTGCATTAATGAATACCACAGCTTCAATGCTAAGGAGGGTGAATCCCTGTCGGACACGTACTCCTGACTAAACACCCTTATTAGCAATTACAAAAGGTATGGAGTAATGAGAATGACAGAGGACAACAACTTTCTGTTCTTGAAGAGCCTTGGAGTCGAATGGATGCACCTAACCATCTCTATGAAGGCCACATTAGATTTGGAAGCTTGGACTCTGGCTGACTTATTTGGTTCACTTAAAAGTCAAGAGCCTCAAGTTCTACAAATGAAGAAGAACTATGGTGATCCGCTTGCTCTGGTTGCAGAGGATGGCAGCTCTGGAAAGAAGGAAGAGAAGGAGAAGAAGAAGAAGAAGA